TAAATAGATGTTTGTTGGTCAAGGCCAACCTCTGATACAAGGCCAGATCTCTTGCTTTTAATGAATTGCAAGGACAGCCTGCTAGACATAAAACTATTATGCTTATGTAGTCTGTTAATTACAACAAAATTCATAAACAGCCACTCATTATCATCATTTCATGCTGAATTTAAAATGGATGTTTTACAGTTTAATGATACCAAAATCTTTCATAATAAAGAAAATATATTTTGTATACTTATGTTGATAATAATATTGTCTTAAGAATACAAACTTAGTTTGAATTTAAGGATTTTCTTCTCAGCCATATAATCTCAGACTTCTTATTGTCATGGAGCCCTTGAGCAGGATAAACTTATTCTTTGTAGAGCCTTAACTGTTTAATCGTTAAAAATACATACAAAAAAAGAATGAATTTATTTTTAGCACTTCATACTTACAAAAAAATATAACTTGATGACTAAAGTGCAGCTGTTGTTTTAAGATGCAAAGCTTTTTTCCAAAGTCAGACATGGTCAATGTAACTTAAACTTCATATCATTCTCTGCATTTATATACTTAGATTCAGCAGATGCATATAATAAAAATGTCTTTTTACAAAGATAGGTTGTTGGGAATCTTGTCAAAAATTTCAGAGCTTGAACAACAATTTGTGGGTATTCTTTGTGTAAAAACAGCATTTATTCTTCCTTTTTTGACACAATCCACATTATAGTATGAAATAGAAAATAGGAAGGCTTGTGGAACCCCTGAGCCTCATTCTCTGAACTCAAGGGCTCTGTTGAACAGACTTTGGGAAACCTTCAAATATTGAACTGCTATTCACTATGCTACAGTGATGTTTATTAATCATTGAGATACAATTCTAAATGTAATCTCCTTATCTTATCAGAAATTTCATTTGTTTGAGTTGCACCAATTTCATTAAGCAATTTTGCTGAAGTTCTTGAATAATGAAGCCATATATATTTTGGGTTTTTTCAAAAACAATTTTGCTTTTATTGAGTATATTATTATTGTTTATTGCTTCATTTTTTACATATAAAATTTAGAATTTCATGAACAACTTCTGATTTTCAGACTACAATAAGCTAAAACTTGGAGGAATTTACTCAATTGCCTGTAATAACTGTCACAAAAATACATAGGAGAAACCTCAAGGAATCTAAATAAAACATTATATGAATGCAAAAGGGACATTTTACAAAACAATACATAAAATGTATTGGTTGCACACTGTAACAAGACTGACCACAATTTTGATATAAAAAATGCTACTCTAATCAAAGGAAAAAAGCAATTCACTATGATGAAAATGTTTAGAGTGCCTTGATCATAAAGTCATCCACAGTAAATTTGCGCCCTGGTTCTTACAACATTTCACTATTCCTAACAGAACTTCTGTTATCACAATGTGAAATATCTAATAACAAAAGTGTTAAAAAGAATCAGCTAGATTAAAAAAAATTAATTTAGAATTCTCAACATCTCTCATTCATGTGCCTGTGTAATCACACATAGAGGTATGGCTCTCATGGCTTCTGATCTTGATTAATTGGAGGCATTAACATATACATGTTTTATCTTGTGCTACAGAAAATATACCATTCAATACCACAGATTTACTTTTCAGTTGTCCGTTCATAACCAGTTGGGCATGTTCCCTAGGGGCTGATACACTGAACATAACAGTAAGAAAACCCCTCGCTATTTTGAGATACAGACGATTATGTTCATGAGAACTGCTTACATACCAAGAAAGACTCTAACAATATAATTTGCTCAATAACTTTTTAAAAAACCTATTCTTTATGGCAGGTCTCTGGTAAAAGAATTGGAAAAGGATTGTATTGAACAGTAAATCAGGAAAACTGGATGAAGATAATGATATTATTCTACTACTACTAGGTGATGGTATTACTTTACACTGGAATTTTACCATACACACTGACTGAATTATGCAAGCTAATAGACGAGATATTGTCATAAAAACTATAATAAAAAAAATTGTAAGACCATAACTTCTCAGTATCATTCTATTGTCTGATAAAAACTGTTATAGCATAGTTGCTTTCTCTTTGGTACTTCATCTTTATGAATTTAAGCACAGTCAAGATTGACAGCTAGGTCTCATCTCAGTTGATATGATTAAATGTAACACTGTTCTTTGCTAACAGTTTCTTCTCTTGCATTTCTTGCTTTCTCTTTTCTGGCCACTTGCTTTCCAGTTAAGTTTGATCTTGAAAAATTTAAATGCAATGTGAATCGTTATTTTTTTCTTAATTCCTTTTATTGTTCTCTCTGTTTAATAATGTCTTTCTTTTCGTCATATTCTTTCACACTCAATAACTGCCCCCCTTGCATATTAGTGGCTTTATTGCCTTACTTGAGGTGAAATGATTAAAATAGTCTTCGAATGTTGATCTATTTAGGAGACTTGCTGTTACCTGTCTCCAATATAAGCTACCTGTTACAACTGGTGAACACTGAATGATGATGATTGAATATATATATATATATATATATAATATATATATATTATTTTTTTTTAGTAGTAGCAAGGCATTTATTGTAGCATTTAGAGAGAACAGGGACCAGTTCAGGAGCATATTTCTTAGGTCTATTATCGGGATACCATAAAGTCAACATGTTTTGTGGGGGTTGAATTTAAAGGTGATAGTATATATATATATATATATATATATATATATATGTGTGTGTGTGTGTGTGTGTAAGCAAATATATGGCTATAGATCCGACAGTATGAAGAAAAATATACTGAAAAAACAAACAAAATCCTAATATGTGATTATGCTGTTCCGACGTTGACATTAAACATTAAAACAGCATAATCGCTTATTAGGATTTTGTTTGTTTTTTCAGTATATTTTTTTCATATATATATATATATATATATATATATATATATTTTCTGATGAAAAATTGAGGACAATTTGAAATATCAAATATATATATAAATAAATAAATACTTTCATAAAATAAAACATTATAATTTTTAATTTGAAACTTTTTCTATATATATATATATATATATATATATATATATAGCAGGACAGGCTGGGTTCTATAGCCTTGGATGGCAACAGGTCTAGGAGAAGGACAACTCTGAATTCAAAACCTGTGGATGGTCGTTTGGGGACCTTGTGGCACTTAATGCACCAGGTCACTGAATTCGCCCCTTCAAAAAGTGTGGCTGGTCCTGCACGAAACCATCACCACTACAATCAAATCTCATGTGCTGTTGTTGGGCTGTCGGTTTCCTGGGAACTGATCTGCTTGACTCTCATATGTTGAATTCGACGGGAGAGTCAACGACTAATATATATATATATAAATATAAACACACACATACACATCATATTGCTCTGTATACAATACAATGAGCTGGTGTCATGGATCTATCTTTTTAATATTTTATATTAAAAGGACCTACGTGGATTATCCTTTCCACTTACGGATTTGATATTAATATCTATATACATATATATATATGAAAAAGAGTTTGTTCTTTTTTGTATTTATATATAATTTTGATGCTATATGTATTATATCTGCTATATATTTTATTAATATAGATTTATATCTATGTAATATTAATATAATACTATATATATTAATAATAAAATTGAATGCATTTTAGGTAAAGGAAGTGTCCCTGAAAAAATTAATATTTTTATTGGGTTCCTATGAGGGTTGCACCAATTAATTGGTCGATAACCAGTAATTGGTTTTATCAGCATTTGTTGATTAATCAGTCATGGGTTTTATTTTATGCCAATAAATTGGTTTTCATATTCTGTGTTTTTTGTTTATTTCATCAAAGAAATTTCCTCACTGGCTTAAGTTTTGTCTTATTTTAGACATAAAAGTTAAATAATATTCTGATTTTTCAGTATTTTTTTTTTTTTTTTTTACTAATTTTATTGAGAATAATTAAATTACCAATTTTCAACCAAATAATCAGTACAACACAAGATCCAATTGTATCGAGATGATATGCTAACAAAATTGATTCATTCCACAATAGGGTAATAGGAATGTTAATATTGGTTATTTCCTTATAAGGAAACATTTGGCATTTCTTGACTGAGTAACTTGTGCTATTGTTGATTGGAATTTATAAAATCTTTCCCTTAAAACAAATTTTCAGGTCCAGTAGCTGTTATCGCTCTTTCCAGAATTGATGTGTATTTCCTTCTTAATCTTTTACTTGAAGTAATGTACAAGGTCAACATCTTGATTATGTCATGGTTATATTCAAAACAAAAGTTTAGCTTAGTAATTATCTCAGTTGATTTATTTGTTTGAGCCTGATTGGATGAATTATTTTATTTTCCTTTATTTTTTTAATAACAGAAATTATTCATGGAGCCTCTATAATCTTTGGTATTTTTCAGTCACAAATAAATAGGCTCAGCTCCTGCAAACTTCTCGTGTTTTAAGCTGGGTTCAGTTTTTTCTTCTTTTTCCTCTTTTTATTTGAGGGTTTCCGTCTCATAGGTCAAGAGAAGTATAGAAAGAGAAGTTTAGAGAAAGAGATAAAGTTTTATAAGGAAAGCACAAATGCCTTATTCTAATTTGAATTCTTTTTAAATTTTTTTATATTTTATTTACAAGCCTAAGTTTTATATTTTATTTACAAGCCTAAGTAAAACTCAGGATTTCTGATGCTGATTTTCAAGGCGAGCAGACCCTCTCCACTTTGTAGATTTGTGCAGTAAAATCTTTTTATTTCCATGTAGCCCTTTTCAAGACTACACTAAATTAGACAATATATCTGTCAAGCTATCTCTAAATAAATAGAAATACAGTATAAAGATATAGATATTCATAAATTTGTATGTCATTAGATAGGTAAGTCTATTTTTTGTTTTGTTTCTTCTTGTTGCTCGTGATTTTCTTGAGATATTCAATCTTCTTTGTTACCATTTTTAGATTCACTCTGGCTTCTTACATTCTTTACCTTTTTTCCCTTCCAGAAATATTCACACCCGAAAACTGTACTCGATCTCCACCTGCAGCCGACAAACTGCAAGACACAGAGAGAAAGCCCATCCAAGAAACGTTTAGCTATTCCGGTGATACAAACACTCCCACAATGAGTTTCTACAAAACAATCATTGATCAAAGCACTCTTCACAAAGAAAGAACTAACCAAGAATCAGCCACAACGAACAATGGCGCCTCCAATATAATCTTGGAATCCAAGACACCGCCAATGAACAGCAACAGCTATTCCAATTTCAGACCATTGCCTCCAGTTCCAAAGAAACAGTTCTAAATACTGTGTGTGCGTGTATGTGTGGGTGTGTGTTTATATATATATATATATATATATATATATATATATAGATATATATATATAAAATGTTATACACAACAGCACAAAACACATGAATGTATATATGAATTTGTGTATATGTGTATTTTTATATACATTACTTTGTGTGTGTATGTGAATATTTGCATGTTCATACATAGTATATATGTATGTGTATATATTGTATTTGATACCAGCATATTATTTGTGGGATTGAAAATAAATATGGGTGGGTGTGTGTGTGTGTGTGTGTGTGTGTGTGTGTGTGTGCATATATATATATATATATATATATATATATATACACGTTTTTATCTCTCTTTCTCATATATATATATATATCATAAACTTTAAAGAGATTAATTTTTCATCAGTTATTATTTCCAACTACTTCAAACATTATTTTGTCAATACCTATGTTTGAGTAAACTGTTTTATTTTCTAATTTTATTTTTTTAAACCATGTGAATTACATCTGTTGGCTTTACATTTTAGAAACTTAATAAAGGAAATGTTCTCTCTGGCAGGGTAAAAACCTGCATCTCCCTATGTAGGAGAAACTGCTACCTGAAGGTGAGCAGTCTCAAGCACGCACCATAGATCAGGTGATAGTTTCACTTATAAAGGGAGATGCAGGTTCATATCCTGCCAGAATGTACATTTCCTTTATTTTGAAATGTGAGGGGCTGGTAGATGTAATTCACACTATAAAAAAAATGTGTCTACTCAAACATGGGTATCCACAAAATTAACGTAGGAAATATATAGAAGTAATACAAATATAAAGTTTGTCACGTAGCTGATTGGTATTACCTTCAGCATATTTCAAATAGTTATTTTTAGTGGATACCCATATTTCAGTAGACTCTCTGTTTTTTAAACAATGTATATTTCTTCAGTCTGTGCATTTGATAAAACTTAACCAGCGTGCTTTGACCACTTACAGAGAGCTTCACCGTCAGGCAAGGTTCTATTTGTCTTAAAACACATTCACTCATTTAAATTTTCTTGAAAGCCATATCTTCTCAGTATCATATCTGAAATGTAAATAAAGCAATTTCTAAAGAATTAATGGATTTTATTTTTAATCTGACATCTTTTTATTACTTCAAACTTTATTTTTAGTGGATATCCATATTTGCATCATCTGCTCAAACTTAAAATGGTTTTTTTTTTGGATACATGTATTTAGTCTATTTAAATGTTAATTTTAGTTAAAAAAAATAACATTTGAACTAATATGTTTAATTAAAATATAAAATATTAATTCTTTTGAATATATATTTTATATTTTAATTCAACATGTTTTTATTATAAAAATAAATTCTCAAATTGCCATATTAGTAAAAAATGCACTCTCTTAAATTTTCAACAAATTCAACCTTAGTGTTGCGACTACACGCTCCAAAAGTTTGCATCCGTTAACAATAACACATTTAAAAAAACATATTTCAGTCCACATTTAATTTTTTTGTCTCAAATGCTACCTGAATTTTACCAAAAACAAAATAATTTCCATGTCTGAAGATGACTGAATGTACAGTTGAAAGTACTTGTGTATTAAAGAAAGACCTTATACAGCTTATAACTTTTAAAGACAAGGATCATAACATTCATTGAGTGATTTGTAGGTTAATGCACCTTTAAAATTTTGTTAGCGAAGGTACTTCACCATTTCATATCATTAACTTTACTAATCTACTTTTTGTATGAATGATTCATTGTTATATATATATATATATATATATATATATATATACACACACAAACACACACATAGTGGTACCTCCACAAATCACTGAAAAATCAGCATACCATGATAAAGACATGCTCCAAACATAATGAAAACACAGTTTTATCATCAAAATCTTTGTTATTATTAAAAGGAAGGATCAAAGTGTTTTTTGAATGTTTAATTAAATTTCTTACTCCTTTTTAGAACATTTAAAATTTTGATTAAAAAATTTGTTTTCTTGCGTTAGCAGTTGTACTGACTTTTAGTATAGCAAATTTTAACCTCTTTTTATGTCGCAGACATATTAATTTGGATATTCTTGCAAAAATCAAATAATTGTCAGACTTTAATGGAATTTCCAAGATTTATTCACAAATGAATGAAAATACTTGTGAATTTTTTTCTTTTATTAGAAAATCTTGGTAAAAATATTATTTTTTTTTACGTGTTTCACCACTTTTTTTTTTTTATTAAAACTTGAGAAATTCAACATGATAATTTTTGGTGACTATTTAAGTTAGAAGCAGAATTTTTGAAGATTTTAAATTTCCAAAATTTTTTGCAGAATTGGACTCCATATTACAAAAACCTATTCTGAATCGAAAAATAAAAAATGCAATAAACCTAAGACATTATTTAAGTAGAGAAGTTTTTAATTGCTTTTATGAATAATATATATTAAAGACAGTATTTCCTGAAAAAGAAAAAAATTTTTTGATGAATTCTTACAAGATTTGTTTTCATTTTTTTTTTACAATTTTAAATTGAATAATTTATAAAGATTTTAAATCTTTTAAAATTCAGTTCCAATGTGATAACTCTTGGGAAATATCATTAAGTAAGACTATATTTACTAATCATATACTGTAAAACTTATTACAATCTGACAACCCTGAATATTTTAAAAAGTATTTTGATTTTTTTTTATATATGTATATATATATATATGCAGAATTTCTAACTATGGATGTTCAAACTTATAACATTATCATTAAAAGATCACATGTTTTAAGGCTTGTCCCCCGCCTCACACACACACATGGGAAAAAAAAAACCTCATATAAACTTTACTGTCCTCTCCACCATGCAGTAACTATGAACGTGTTAGGCAGATATTCAGCTGTAAATAAATCAATTAACACGTCAGAAAAACAAGACCCTGTGGTCAAGAAATGCTTGTACACAACATTTTATGCTATAAGTAAGTAATATTTGCTTCAAATCAGATTAATTTAACTTTAAATTTGCTAATTTTCCTCAAATAACTTTTCAGAACTACATATTTTATTTTTGCAAGATTTTTAAAACCGAGAATCAACTTTTGTTTACAAATTTATCAAAAAGGCCGTTTTTATTGATTTTACTGAAAAAAAATCAATTCCGATTAATAAATACACCACAGAGTATTTTGCTTACTGGAAATAGTAAATTTTAAATCCTTTAGCTTTCAATTAAAGCTAAAATGAAAGCTTCAAGAAAGTTTTTTCATTTTTAAAAATTCATTTTAAACCTTATATATACCGAATTAGTGGAGGTACCTATATATATATATATATATATATATATATATATATATATATATATATATGAAAAATATAGTTTAAGGTGTGCTATATTTATGGGATAAAGTGCTCAATATCAGAGATAGAATGTATGTAAATATAAATATAAAAGTGAACATTGAAGTCAACACTCAGAGGCTCTGAGTGTTGACTTCAATATTCACTTATATATATATATATATATATATATAGTGTGTGTGTGTGTGTGCTTGTGTGTAACTATTTTTGTAACAAATATATACACATTTATGTACTTGTATAAATCTACATTGTTGCTTTTTCAAACCAAAACCTGAATAAATACTTAATTTAATATTTTCATGTTAACTTGATTTTATTTATTTTGAATGTACAAATTCACATTAAAAAAAAAACACTTAAGAACAATATTGAGAGATAGCATTCTGGTTGGAACATTACTATTAAAAAGGTTAAAATCTGCATTTTAGTTTTTCAACTGCTGTATTAATAAGGCTGATGAAAATCCTATTTCATGTTAGATGTATATACTTTACAGGCAAAATTATTAAACATTAAACAAATTGCATTGTTCTAAAGATCGTCATTGTTAACCTTTCTTAAATAATCTAGTTCTGTTTGAACAGCACTTTACATTGCAGTAAAACATGAAATAGAACAAAAAGATGAGTGTAATGAAGAGATGAGATCTCTTTACTTGAGATGCTTACAAACATTTCATCTGCCCATTCATCCATTTTTCCTTGATCTCTTATTCATTTCATAATTTCTCTTGTAACTCTTTGCATTTTCTTTTTTTTCTTCTTCTAATGCTTTTGCTAATTTCCACAACTCCAACTGCCAAATCTAAATAAGTTGAAGGTAATTGAGTATTTCAATACCAATTCCAAACCCTAAAGACATTAAATCTTTTTTGAATCCAATTAGAATGAACATTTTATGAAAAAAAAAAATAACCTGGTTCAGAAAATTTAGCTCTATAGAGAAGTAAATTAAAAAAATACCCTGTATAAAACACATTTCTCTATCTTTCTCTCTCTCTTTCTCTATACATATATATATATAATATATATACTTCAAAAGATTAAAGGTGACTATCAACCTGGCTACCTTGATGGAAATGTAAAATCCATAAAAAAGGTCATCCCCGTCTGACCTATCATTTCACAAATACCTACACTGGTATATTACCTTTCAAAAACCCTTAACAAATTAATTACTCCCTATCTCCCAAGTAAATATTGTATTAACTCCACAAATGAATTTATACAAATTCTTCAGGCTGTAAAATTAAACTACCAAATAATCGCATATTTGATGTACAAAATTGATTTACTGATGTCCCCATCCATGAAACGATTGACATCATTATCCATGATGTATACAATCACACTTCTCTCTCACTAATCAATATTAAACCCACTATTTTTTAAAAAAAATATTATTAGTATGCACCACTCAAGTACCCTAGGTAATATTTATACTCAAAATAGACAGTATTGCAATGGGATCTCTTTTAGGCCTCCTTTTTTCTAATTATTATATAGCACATTTAGAAAATAAAATACCTAATGATACTAATAAATCCCTTATATATGTAAAATAGATGGTATTTTCATTTTAGCTAAAAATATTGATCAAATTAACTTAAAAACAAATTTGAAAGTCACTCTGGCCTCAAATTT